AAAAGTTCCCAGGAGGCACAGAAGCACTCACCTGGAGACAGGCTCAGCTTTTGTACCCGTGCACACTGGTGGGAAAAGCTCCTCTGGGTCTGGTTCAAAACACTGACACTGGCTGCTGTCCCTGTGCCCTGACACCGCCCAGGACGAGCAGCAGAAGACAGTTTTGTTTCTGTCACTTTCACTGCTCCCCAAACGGCACCTGAAACAAATCTGCTCCTGCCAGGCAGCAGCTGAGATTAAACCATTGCTCAGGTGCCTCTTCCAATGCACAGGTCCAGGGCTGGCCATCCACGTTCTCCACGTGCCATGTCCCACACAGACTGAACCCAGGAGCTATTCCTGTTCTCCTCAAGGGTTTCACTGATATGCTCGTTAAGGATTTTAGCCTTGCACCACCCTCTGAACAAGCCTTGGTGTTTTCCTTGCCTGTGTGGGATGAGAAACAACAAATACATCTGGAGAACTGAGACCAATTCAAAGCTTTGAAGGCTGCTATTAAAGGTAAGGGCAGCGTGACCCAAACTACTAAGAAAATCCTCCAAGAGCATCTACATATGTATTTTACACTATTTTAACATATATTTGTAGTTCTGAATGGTTACAGTTAATATTTTGCCTAAATGTGTTTTGGCTATGAAGTCTCTACAGAACAAAAAAAAAAAAAAAAAGACGACGACCATATTATCCAATATCAAAAAGGGTGGTACTCTGTTCTTAATTTCACCATATTGAGCTGCATTATAGTTAAAACCAAAACAACTCAAAGCAAATAATCACAAACCAAAAAATCCCCAAAGCTAAACCACCCTGCTTCAGTGAAACTTTATTTCCATTCATCAGAGATTAAAATGTATCTTCTATAAAACCTGTTCCTGAGAGAAAGAAACAGGCATGGCTTAAGATCAGTTATTTCCCTGACTATTGCCCAGAATGAGTCTGAATACAGCCACTGGTGTAAAGCAGTGTGTGCACCATGTATCCATTCCCAACCTGCTCAGCTAAACATAAAAGTTTGTAATGCAATGTCGTGCAGCTTGTCACTAAAAATCTTATAATTACATCCCTGTTTGGATGACTACTGGGTTATTAATGCTCAGCAATAAAGATGAAAGTAGACAATTTATTACTATTTGGCACTGAATGTCAATCAATTCAACTAAAAAGCACCTATTTAAAAATAATAAAAAATGAATAATATCTAGCTTAGCACGCTTCCTGCTTATCCGAAAAGTCTGATGATATTGAGTTAGTCGGCAAGGTGGATTTAAAACAATGTATTTGAACTTCCCAGCATTATGGGATCCCACTGCAGACCAATAATTGTGAGACAAAATTGAGCTAACAGAGAATGGCCCAGAGTCTCTTTTCAATCCCGGGTGGATTAGGGGAGGCTGTGCTGCAGGGAACACGCTCCACTCTCCGAGCAGCAGGAGAGGCTGGGGCTCCTCGAGGCTGCAGACACAGGCAGGATACAGAGCTGGACCCGCCTGTGGCTGGAGCAGGGTGACACAGCCAGAGTCATTTCATACTTCACTAAGAGCACTCTGTGCAGGAGCTGCTTTGTGCAGGAAGAAATTAGAAAGATGAGTCACCATCAGTTGGCATGAAGGCTCTGGGATGTGACACCTCCGGTCACAAAGTGGGGACCAGCTCTACTTGTACTGAGTATCAGCAAAAACTTCTTCTCTGTTGTAGCACAGTGAGTATTATACAAAACTGCTCTTCCTGATAAGGATCTTGTGAAATTGTAAGTAAAGCATAGTTAAAAAAAAAAAGGCATGGGAAAAAACTTGCCATTTCCATTAAATATTAACCTCCTGAAAGAGCAAGTAAGGACTAAAACATCTCTTATCTTAATTAGTTTAGTAGAAATGAATTTAATTTATATTGTAAGGTTGTATTTTCTATTACAGATCCAGGGCAAGGAAGGGCAAACTTTTTAGAACTATCCATTTATATGAAATAATATTATTGTTTAAAGCATCAGCCCAATAATTTTTTGGTCTTATCTTAAATCATGGACTCCTGTGGGCATCTTTTGCCAAAAACATTAAGGACTGAGGGATTAAATTCACAGTAAAATGCAAACAAACACAAAACAGGTTTTCAAACATTGGTATATTGACTTGAGTACTCTAATAGTGGCCAGAGCTTTATCTTCATCTAATTTGACCTTCAGTTTAGTTTGACCTCTCAGACAAGAAAGTCTAGACATTGGACCTGATTGAACTCAACATTTTCCCTTTTCTAGGTTGTTCTAAATAATTTTAAGCCCACAATCACTAATACAGCTAACACCATGACTTACTCTAACAGTAAAGCTGTTCACAGGAAATTTACTTTGACTGCAGAAACAAAAATGTCAGTATTTGACAGGAAAATGCCAAAACCATGTCTATGTATGAAAAGATGATGTGTGTGTGTATATATATATATATATATATATCAGAAATTAAACTGTTCTTTAAAAAGGCAAAGAAATGCAACTATTAGCCCCCTCAAATGAATAACCTCTGGTAATCTCTGTGACCTAATAAGAGAAAGCATCTCCTTAATTCTTTCCTGCAGCTTTTACTTTTACTGTGAAATATTACACATGAAAATACAGTTCAGTTTAATTACAGGAAAACATTACTAGTGATGCTCACGTGTTAATTCTCCCCACGCTACACAAGCAGTTAAAATCTAATGACACAGAAAGACCATTATTTTAATTATCCCTATAAAAAATAAGCATGTAGAGGACTAAAATGTTATTGTTTCCTGTGAGCACTGTCTTAATAGAAATGTTTATTTTAAAAGCAGAATAAAAATTCAAATATTATCTGGACCAAAACTTTTTCTTTCAAAAACATGCTTTAAACGTGTTAATAATTGGATTAAAAATTACTTTGAGTTCTCAGGCATTGCCAGGACACTAAGAAACCACAGCTAGAAAAGTTTTCCTCTTAAAATGAATTAATGCTCAGTCCTCACAGTTGGCTTTTTGAATACCACACAATCTATATGGGTGTAATGTAAGACTAGTTTTTATTTATTACTCAGCAACTAGGAACCTCAGCATATGGGCCAAACCAAATTAATCATCAATCTGGTCACTGTTTTGCTAAGGCACAGGAAAATGATGCTCAAATACATTGTTTGTATATATTTTAAATCTTGACAAAGCAAGAAATGTCCCTTATCATTAGGTTGTCATCCCCTTGTAAAAACTGACTTTACCTAGCACTTATATAAATAAGCTCCTTAGAAAAGACCAGTTGTTATTCTGTACAGTGGTTCTGTACCAGCTGAATGACAAATACAAATGTCTTTAAAAAAGAACCACCCTTCCCAATTCCTCCGAAGTTTGAAGAAAAACTTTTGAGTCTGTACAACCACTGTAAACTATTACACTTACCTCAAGTAACCACACTAACAGGTGATGCTACTCTTTCATCAACTCTGCCCTTAACAGAGACTGTGGTTTAATTACAGCAGGTTTTAAGCAGCATTCCATAAAGTGCCCTGTGAGGATGTTGGATGGCTACAGAGACTTATTGACAGCTTGCATTCTGTATTGTTACAGCAAAGCTTTATTTTCTTAAATTGCTAGAATGCTGCTACTTCTACACTTTACTTCTCTAGGACACATGCATTTTGAATGTCTTTGATCTTACATAATCTTCTAACTACACAACTAAACCTTACAAACAAAGTCTCCTTTAATTCTGTGTTTCTGTATTTTAATTCTGTTATAATACCTGTTTCCTCCACATAATACAAGATTCTGTAAATTTAAACAAGTACAAGCCAAACATTATATACAAATATTTAAATATTTATGCACACACATACATACACACACAGACAGTATTTGCCATTTCATTCTGAGCCTTTTAGAAGGACAGAACACTTAAGCATGAAGTAATAAAAAAGGCATAAAAGCACATATTAAGACACAGTAGTATTAAATCTCCCGAAATCGCTACAAATAGATGTTTACACAAGAATCCTGACAAGAAGTGTTGAAAAAGGAGTCTGGTTCAAAGACAGGGAGTTAAGAGCTCAATTCGCACCTTATTTAAATTTCAGTCTGGGTGTATGCAGGAGACAAAGCAGGCTCTTGTCAAAGTGCCACTCCACGGCAGGTGTAGTAGGGACGCGCTCCGGTGTCAGCACACGCTGGTACATTGTCTGAGCGCTGGATGTGATACATGCCAGCAATCCCTGCCTCCACAGCCAGCAATTTATTATCCACAGCAATTCCCAAACAGCTCAATCGCAGGGTTGTGCGTGAAACACCAAAGCGCTTCGGTGTTTATTATCTTCGCAAACAACAAAATATCACCGTCCCTCAGTGCTCCCCGCAAATCTGCGGCAGTGATGCAAAGCAGCTTTTTTTTTTTTTTTTTTTTTTTTTTTAATTCCCTTAGGGAATACAAATGCCTGCCTTCTCCTATTGCTGCCTGCTCCTAGCCGAGACGCACTGTGGACAATAGTTTCTGAATCAGCGATACCTTCCCACACTGTTGGCAAACACTGAAGAAATAAATAATAACATTGTACTACAATCTCGGAAGAAAAGGGGAAAAGAAAGTAAATAAACAAATTAAACCCCAGCAGCTTAAAAAAAGCAAAGACAACATTAAAACACGGTGAAAATATAAGAAATACCAGCGGTTAAGGATGAGGATTAATGGGCAGAAAGGCGGCAGTTATTGCGGAGGCACAGAGAATCCTCCTTGCCTGGAACTCGTGCAACTGATGACCTCTCCAAGTGCTGAATTCCGCGGCTCGGCACAGCCCGCGGGCTGACACTGACACACAGACACACAGACACATAGACACACAGACGCACACACACACTCACACGCACATCCCAACTTGTCAACTCCACCAGCGCAATTTCAGCGGGGGATGCCGGCGCCACGGAGCCCCGAGCGCTGCGGCTCTGCCGAGCGCGGAGCGGGGAGGAGAGCCCCGGGCATGTCGGCAAGTGAGAAGTGAAGAGCATTTACCAGCAGCGGCGGCAGGTTGAGCAGCCCGAGCGCCTCTCACCGTCTCTGGGCGATAACTTCGCACCGGTGCGGATTCCTTCAGTGAGGAGGGGACACCCCTTCCTTCCCTGCCCTTCCCCGCCTTCGCTCTGCTCTCGCCGCGCGTCCCGTCCCTGCTGACACGAGCGGAGCGCCGGGCGGCAGCAGCAGCAGCAGAAGCCCGGGGAAGCTCCGGGCGGCAGCAGAAGCTCGGGGAGGCTCCGGGAGGCTCCGGGCAGCTCGGAGAGGCTCCCGGGGCCGGGAGCGGCGCCGCCGCCAGCAGCAGCACATGTGTCCTTGCTCCCTTGTTCCCTTGAGCGTCCCTGCGCACGGCGGGCCGCTGCCCCGGCCGGGCGCTGCCGCAGAGGCGCGGGAGGCGGGGATGCCCCGGGTCTCCGGCGGCGGGATGCTCGCCCCGTCGGGGCCGTGCGGGCCGGGAGGGGATGCGGGTCAGGAGGGGATGCGGATCGGGAGGGGAGTGAGGGGTTCCTTCCCGATGCCGCCGCTGCGCAGCCCGAGGAGCGCGCGGAGGCACCAACAAAATCTGGGCAAGAGGGGGAAAAAAAAAAAAATAGAACTGTTAAAAAATCGCTTCCATCTTCTTGCCACGAGTTAGAACCGTTCCAACAACTGTTGTCACTTCTGCAGAACAGAATTGCTTTAGCCTCAATCATCGTGTTCTATATAACATTACTTCCAAATTGTGCGCAGAGTAGTTATCTTTTCTCTGAAATAATTAAACGTTGACTATTATTTAACCTTTAATTTCTCCCTCCACATTGCTACACATCTGTCAGACCACCAAAACAGAAGTGTTAAAGCAAAGGAAACACTCGGGAAACAAGAGAGTGACAAAGTACAAGGCACAAGCTGATGGCAACCTGTAAAACTTTGTACATGTTTTTGGCAAGGCCGAGGGGGAAAGTAGCAACTGAAATTAACCAGGAATCAGAAAGAGCAGGGAAAAGGAGCCTGGGACATGGGCAGTGCACAGCAGCAGGGCTAGCAGTGCCACAGATCGACTTCATGGCTATTCCATACCATAGAAAATCCCTGTAGAGAAATGCAGCAAACTGGAAAACACTGGATTTGCTGTAGTTGGAGAAAGTGCATTGTGAATTTCTGATTAAAGAGAAACTACAGCAGAGTTAATTTTCCAACTGCAACTGTAGTTCTGTAACTGTCAACAAAGAGCAAGAGTTTTAAGGGGCAATCCAGAAACCAGCAGGGAAGCATCTCTCAGCTTTTCAAGGTTAATTGAGAAAAGGGGAGAGTTGAGCATACTGGTAGAGCTTGGTAAATTACATGCAATGTTGTCGCTCGAGGACTGCATCTATTCACAGGAGAGAAGAAGATCCACAGAACTACAACTTCTCCCTGGCCTCATCTCTTTCCACGGCATTTCACAGATTTCAAGATATGTCCTTGTCTCTAAAGCTGTGGTCAAGATTTTAATGTATGTGTGGTGATGTGTTGATTCTGCAGAGAAACGTGTGTACAGATATACTGTGGCAGTCATTTTACTGGAAATAACATTTCTGCTTGAAAATAAACTAGATTGCAAAAATGAATGCTAGAGAAGTCTTAAAAATACTGTTGCAGTTAAATAATTAGTGTTCCTATCAGGAAAGAAAGACAGAATTACACTGAGCTTGGAAGTAAAGTTTGTCAAACTACATTATGATGGATGCAAGTGTCAGTGAAAAAGGTAATGGAAAGTCTACAATAGCAGTCCATAAAACATTTGACTTGATGCTTATGATGATTAGGCAAATTAACAAAATTCAGAATTAATTCAGCTCATACAATCTAAAGATACCTGGAAATCTTCACCTCATTGGAGCAGCATACAGAATATTACAAAGCTACTTAAACAGACCAGTGATTTGAGAGAGAACAAGCAAATGGCTTATTAAATGCCATGCAGCAAGGGTTTGTTGCTGGTCAATTATGATGGATATGGGTTAATGGCACAGACCAACCCAGTTGCCTTGGTAAGGTGGCCTCATTTGTTCAGCAGAGCTGGTGAAGTCAAGGTCAGGCATCTAGTGAAAAAGAACAAGGGTGACATTTCAGGCTTGGGGATTGTTTTCTGGAAGTCAGTTTACTATAAGCAGCATTCGTTTGTCCTGGTGAATAACTGAGTACATGCTCTCAATGTTCTGGGTTAGTGAAGATGACAGTTGGGAGTGGCAGAGAGTATTAAAAAAAACAAAAACAGAAGTTACATGTTGAGGCAGTATCATAAGACCAATGTGGGAATACTGGCTTTGTGTCCACATTCAGGATTAATGTTAACTATATAAATCCAGAATATCTGAGAGACAATTAATGTAAGTTTTAGAAGAATAACTGTGTCTTATCTCTAAAGTGAGTGTCCTAACAGAAAATAGGGAACCATGCTTTCTCTTCCTCTTGTTCTCTGTTTAAATTGATCTTGGATTCCTTTAGATGTGGTGGTACAGCTTCAGTGGAAGACAGGTTTGTTCCTATCCCTTTTATCTGCAGGTAAGGGTATTCTCCTGGGAGTGGCAGTGAATATTCATGAGCCTGCAGAGAGTAACCCAAACACCTAATTTCTTGGGTTAGGTCTCTAACTACCGGATTAGTCAGTAAATGGTGACCATAGGCTGCTCCTCCTTTAGCAGATTTTAAATACATTAGCTCTGTTTAATTCTTTGGAGGAAACCTTCAAAACAAGTTCCAGGCAGCAAATCTGAAGTGAATATAAGTGTATTTCTTCAGCTTTTTTTCTTTTTCTTTTTTCTTCAGGTGCTTGAGGAATGAGACTGCAGCTGTGTCTCTGCCCCGTTGCTGTTGCTGCATCAGCCAGTGCTCCATGGCTGAGCTGAAAAGGCACAGCCTGGAGCCTGCACATGTTACCAGCTCCAGCCCTCAATGCCTTCAGGGGCTCTCTCAGAATCACCTTGTCACTTACAGAGCCTGCTGACAGGAGAGCATCTTGTCCACTTTCAGAAGGGCCATGGCTCTCTCTTTTCACACTTCTTTGAAAAATTGACCTTCAGTGTGATTTGAAAGGAAAGAAGAAAGGAGGCAACAAGAAAGATTAGCAGTTTACTGGCGGTAACTGCTGGATGCCTGTCCCCTTGCCTTTTAAGCACGTTTGAATTTTCTAACCTGGAACAGCTGATTTTTGAGTGTGTCCCTATACATCATTATTTCTCTATTAGTATGTAGGTTCTCCACCACACACACTGCTATAGCTTGATCAAAACAGGCATGATAAAAGGATTTCTGGAAGCTGATGCTATATAAATACATTGTACAATGAAAGTGAAATTTTAGGAGTGCAGCTTGTTAGTAATAGGAACATTTTACCTATGTATTGTGCATTCTGGTCTTGCTTAGATTCAAAATAGGATCTTTCTGACAGTTATATTGCATCTCAAATGTAAGTTATAGGATTGAAGGAGTGGTTACCTGAGGGAAGTTCTGACTGGCATCACACAAGAGGTCACTGCAGCTGATAACCATAATTTTTTCCAACCCTGTAAGCTGGAAATTGTGAAATGCAATGATCCATTGTAACAACATGGACTCTTCAGAATAAAGAGAGAGCTTATCTTCCTGAACAATATTTCTCAAATGTTTTAATGTGTTGAAAAGAGGATTATTTTAATTAATTGGTACCATTTCCTACCTTTATTATATATACTTCAATATCATTAGTCAGTCATGCAACTGCACCTGATTTAAATGTCCAGTTTTTATTCTTAATCCTATGTCTGCAATTGCATAGTAATAAATAATGGAAAAAGTAATAATAATTTAAAAATACCCATGTGATTATCTCTCTGTTCCAAGAAAGTAACCACACCATGGTAGGGGAGAAGTAGCTCTGTATCATGTAGTGAGCACCTAGCAGAGAAGGAGTGGCATGATACAGAATTTTAACACACTGGAATTTTCTTTTGTAATTGAGTAAGTGTGGTGTATGTTTGACATTGCAGAAGGGGAGTTTGTGTCCCCCCCTAAATATTGCCAGAAGCTGTGTGTAATTCATCAGACAAAAAGAAAAGAAAGGTGTTGAAATTGTGCTAGTATTTTCAGGTAGTTTCCAGTCTCTTTAGCCTTTTTTTTCCCTTCCCTTTTATAGGCAGCCTTATTCTTATCATTGTAAGAATGATAGCCTGTCTTTGAAGTGGCTCAAATGGAAGCACTGAGCAGGTAGAACGCCACTTGCTATGTGCTTGAACAGCTCTCAACAATGCAAAGCCATCAACAAAGTTGAAGTTTGGAAGAAGAAGAGGGGAAAAAAAAAGATAGAAAGTCTTTCCACCTGCTCACTGGAAAGTTAAGAAAATGTGAATACTTTTATAGGCATGGAATGCTGTTGTACTTTGAGGAATTGCTGTCTGCAAATGAGCACGTTCAGTATGCACAGCCATCCCTAGTGGATGCAAAACTCACCAGAATACCACCTGTGTGCCACGGTTTGTGTTCTGTACACAACAAACTCTGAACTGACACACCTGACCTCTTTTTTCCCTATAGCTGACCACAAATAGTTGAAAGAAATTTGGAAGAATATGTCTGTCAACGAAGTGTAAAGTGGATTAGTGCCAGCTGGAAAAAAATGATTACTCTTCACTCATCTGGCTGACCAAGAGGAGAATTCACCAGTCACTGAGAATATTTTTTGTGTTTAAATTGTTCAGCTCTCAGGAAAAAACACATTGTGGGTGTTAAAACTGGGTGTTACTGTTAAAGAGTCAGTAGGATGCCCTGCTTCCAGAGCAGTTACTGTGCTAAGAATGTTTATGTGATAATCCTAAACCACTCATACAATTGTTAAACTAAAGACACAAATAGCAGGGCCTTTCTTACTCTTTGAGGCAGGACCCAAGTCTCTTACCTTCATCTGGCCCACCCAGTTACTGGAGTCATACTGGTTTCCAATGACTTTTTAGATGCCAGTTCCCAAATACTGAAATCCGAGTATTGTCGTTGCTGTTGTAACATTAATGGAAGATACAGTTGGTCACTGTTCCTCAGTTTGGTTTGGCAAGCTCCTGTCTGAGTGTAATTGCAATGTTAATTCTCTCAGCCATTTTAATGACTCTGACACCACAGAGGATGAACAGTTTCACTTGCATTCCTGCTGCAATTACTGAGAGGTTGTAGCCATTACATTAAGAAAAACTATTTGCTTTGTGTACT